TGTGGTTTCCCCTTGGACATTGGATGTGCAGAATTAACACTCTTTCTGCATGTTAGGTGCACTTTTCATCATTTCACAGAAACACACAGAAATAAGCATTTGCAAAGTGCCTAGTTTGTTTCATGTGAACTTTGGGGATGTCCTTATAATGGCAGGCACTCCATACATTTCTCGTTGTTGTTGTGCGCCTTCAAGTCATTTCCGACATATGGTGACCCTAAGACCCTAAACCTAGGCAAGAAATGCTGACATTTATATCAGGTGTTTCAAAAATAATGGTGCAAAAGTAAAGTTATTCTTCTTCTGTTTTGCACCATGCTTTTCGAATCATCCTCTATGTTAAGACGAGAAACATGGAGGGCAAGGGATAATACTCTGTGAGTTACATATGTACAGTGTGTTGGGTTTTGATTCCAGGATGCTCCCCCCCATGGGTACCAAATCCATGGATGCTCAAGTCCCATTAAATACAATGGCATAGTAAAAATGGCATCCCGATTCCCCCATGAAACCGATTCCCCCATAAACTCTCAGCCTCAGGAGAAGACAATGGCAAACCGCCTCTAAATAAATCTGACCAAGAAAACTCCATGATAGGTTCGCCTTAGGGTTGCCCTAAGTCGGAAACGACTTAGAGGCACAAAACACCAACAAACATATAAAATGGTAAATATCAAGATTTGTTTTGGGGGATTTCATTTTTCATTTTATTATTTATTTATGGGATTTATATCTCACCTTTCTCCCAAAGTAGGAACCAAAGTGGCTATTTATATATTTATATAATTATATATTGAAAAATTTCAAGGCGTGGATAGTGGAATCCGTGGATATGGAGGGCCGACTGTACTGCCAAACACAGGTTCTGAATTCTTATTGGTGTTACTCCCTTGTAGGCCATGTGAAGATATCTCTCAGAAAAGGGGGAGAGAAGAAAGAGGTCCATGCAGAAGGTTTTCTAATCAAAGCCACGCTTCTCCTGTCTCAAAGATGTGCATTGACTAGATAGAAAGAAGTGGGCATTCGTGCCCACATACCCAAATGTTCACAAGACATCGCAGTCGCAGATGCCAAAGCTGGCACCGTCCCCTTCCTTTCTTGAAAACCCTGCTGTCTGCAAGAACAATGCACATGCTCTTTCCCACATGGAGAGCCGATAACAACATGTTAACATCAGTTCATAAGCTGTGCTTGGCCCTAGACAGAACTCCTGTGGGGTTCGATGGCTATTCTGAAGACTAGTAGACCAGCTCTGGCTGCTTCTCTATTCTTTATGTGATGGGCAACACAATTTCATGGGCCTCACTTGTGGGTGGGGTGGGGTGGGGTGAAACAGACATGACACCACAATGTATAGGTCTGTTTTTAAGCTAGCCATCGGGTGAGGACAGGGATTTCTATAGTGTCGTCCCGTCCCCCCCGATGTTTTCCATGTTACTAGTTTTCCCAATGATTTAAAACAACACCAATATTGCAAAATTCATCCTTCCAAATAAATTCTCACCCAAAAAGAAATGGAAGGTAGGTTCATAGACAATCTTTTCAAAGCATTTTCCCCCACATTAACAATGAGAATAGGGTTTTGGTTTTAGTTTTAGTTTTGCAACTTTTTCTTAGCATTTTCAGCTCTAATGCAGCGTTTCCTGCTCTACATACGCCAAGAACTCCAGTTGCTCCAAGAAGAAAAAGAGGGCTTATCCCTCAGTTCCTTGCATAGTGGAAAGATGTATAGATGCTGCTGTCTGTTACAAAAAGAAGAGAAAAGGACATTCTACCCTGCTGTTTCTATTTTGGGTGAAAGAAGTAGTTTTATTTCTCTTTGAAACCTCTGGCCTTGTTTGTTTTGGGCATTCCAGGAGAGTGAAGGCAGTAAAGGATGGATTAATCTTCTAGCAGAAATATGGAGCTTTTCTGCCTGTGATTCCTGCCACAGAGATGTTGCCTGCATTAACTATGCACAAGATCAAGAGATTACATACCCTAAGGCACCAGATCCCATCTGATTTGGAAGCTAAGCAGGGTCAGGCCTGGTCAGGACTTGGATGGAAGACCACCAAGAAATCCCAGGTGCTGAAGGCCATATTTCAGAGGAAGGAACTGGCACCTCAGAGGACGTTATCACACGGGGTCTAAAGCAGTCCCATCCCCATACCATCCCCGTCCCATTCCGGATCCTTTGCCCCTGTGTTCAAACGACGTCACAGCAAACCCCGCCCCATCCAGTGTCATCCCCGTCCCATTCTGGATCCTTTTTTCGTGTGTTCACACGACGTCGCAGCAAACCCTGCCCCATCCAGTGCCATCCCCGGCACATTGCAGCATCATCCCCGTTCTTTGCAATTCCTCTTTCATTGAGGAATTACATCTTGCTGCGACCAGAATCAATCCAGAACCATACCAGAATGATGCTGCTTTCTTGTCTGAAGCTACGGGGTCTATTCCGGTATGGTTCTGGATTGATTCCATGCCGCTTTCTTGAGACCCCGCGTGTGATAAGGTCCAGAGTCTTCCTTGCCTAAGGAATCCCTATAAAATTCTTGGGGTCACCATAAGTCAACAGGTGACTTGAAGGCAGACAAGTACACAAGGTACAAACTAGCCCAAGCCTAAATAACCTAAAGGCATCAGATCCCATCTGATTTTGGAAGCTAAGCAGGGTCAGAACTAGTTACTACTTGGATAGATACCACCAAGGAATATCAGGTGCTGTGGGCTATATTTCAGAGGAAGGAACTGGCTAAACCACCTCTGAATCTTCCTTGCCTAAGAAAATCTACGAAACCCACGGGGTCATCATAAGTTGACAGGCAACTTGAAGGCACACAAGGCACAAACTAGCCCACACCTAAATAGACTAAAGGCACCAGATCCCGTCTGATCTTGGATGCTAAGCAGGGTCAGCCCTGGTTAGGACTTAGATGGCAGACTGCCAAGGAATAGCAGGTTCTATAGGCTATATTTCAGATGCCTTACCCCACCCTCTGAGGATGCCTTACCTAAAAAAAAACCTATGAAATTCATTGAGGCCCCATAAGTTGACAGAACACACATACACACACAAGATCAATCAGGTTTGTAAATAATTTGGTTGATAGTGACCTCAGTCTGCGCTGTCATTGTAATGTGGCAATATGCTGTCATACGGGGTCATGAGGATTTCAAATTGGCAGCCATACCATTCTTTCCAGGTAGATGCTTTCCTGAAAGAGAGCAAGAAAGACCTAATTGGCAGACCTTGAGCTCATGCATAGGACCCCAATAAAAAAGAGGGACCAAGCCCTCAACATTGTAGTACAATCCGGGAGAGTCCAGTCTTGGCTCTACCTATGAATTGATTGATGGAAGGAGTTGCCTTCTGAGAACATGAGGATGACACTGGTGAATCAATCCATGATCTTCTGCTCCCTAGAGTACAATACACCTAGCATCAACCTTTACCCTATTCATAATGTGATAAGAAGGAGCTAGCTTAGATACCATATGCCGGATGCTAGCTGTTTAACCACACATAACACATTTACAAAGCACAACCCAAACTACAGAAGTCAACCAACACCGTCAAGAAGTTCAGTGAGCAACTTTGCTACCACATTGCAGAATTAACATAATTTGACACCACTTTAGCTGCCATGGCTCAGTGCTCTGGAATCTTGAATTCTATAGTTTGTCGTGGCACCAAAGCTCTCCAGAGAAGGCTACATATCTCACAAAACTACAAATCCCAGAATTCGATAGCACTGAGCCATGGCCATTAAAGCAGTCTCAAATTACATCATTTCTGCATTGTAGATGCAGCCCTAGAGAAGTCAGTTCACATCTCGATCACTAAATAATAAAGTACTTGAATGAATGGGGTGGGGGGGGGGTTTCTCACATGAGCCCAGTGCAGTGTGGCTTCTCTTCTCCCTCCATTTTTCAACGATTTCTGGGCTGCTCTCACCACCTGCCCAGTAAACCACCAGCCCTCTGGTTCCAGGGACCATGTTTATTTCTCACTCTTTGTACCGTACCTCCATTGTTCTGCAAGGAGTTCCAGTACTTCCCAGTCAAACTCCCGTTCACTCCACTGCTCCAACAGCAGAACTGGGGTCCTTCAGATGAGTCCCTGAAGTTCTTTTGACTCATAGATTTGGAAAAAAAACGATGGCTCCAAAATGGAAGCATCCCATGCAGCTCTTGGAACTTGGAAGCATCCAATATGGCTCTTCAGTTCCCTTACCAGAAGGGTTGACAAATGACATTTTTGAGTCCCTGAGAAATACACTGGACCTTTCTTAGATGGGACCTCCACAGATGGGAAGAAACATGGACTTTCAAGCCTCATATTATTCAATAGGTGGAGAAATGCATGATTCCAGAGGTTTCATTAGGGGCTTTGGGGAGTTCAGATTGCATCAGTTAGCACCCTAAAAAGGGGGTGACACCACTGCTCCCCAAACATTTGCCTTTTGGCACAAAGAGACTGTGGTGTTGACCTCCTTTCATTTAAAATGCTGGGGTTCAGTGGAAGCAATGGGGGAATGGAGTGAGGCTCAGTGGGAGGAGAAAGGAGAGGCCTCAGGGTTTCTAAATTTTAAACTTTTAAAATTTATTCTTTTAATTTTTTTCCTTAAAAACATCTTACCAAATTTTCACTTTAACCACACGAAACTATGTACATGCAAATACATTTGGGCTGTGCATATGATATTGTAATGTAAGGGTATAATTTTAATTTGGCTAGTTGTTTATGTCACAACTCTCACCATTACGTTGAGTGATACACAGGAATTGCGATCTGTGGGTAACATTAGTACATTGCTAAGGATTCTGTATAGTGTGGTCTGGCAGGAGGTCCATGGGGAGTTGACACCATAAGTTCCTGCGCTGGGTGACACCAACCCGAGTGACGCCACTTGTCCACTTGTCCACATGTCCACATGCACACGCTACCATTGAATAATATGAAGCATGGCGATCCGCAGATGGGGGAATCCGTGGATCGTTAACCCAAAGTGAGAGGCAGCTTGGCATAGTGCTTTGAGTGTTGGACTACCACTCTGGAGACCAGGATTCAATTCCCAGCTCAGCCATGACTTTGGGCAGGTCGCTTGCTCTCAGCCTCAGGGGAAGGTAATGGCAAACTCTCTCTGAACATATCTTTCCAAGAAAACCCCAGGATAGGTTCGCCTTAGGGCCGCCATAAGTCAGGAATGACTTGAAGGCACACAGCAACCACCACTACAACAACTATATTTTTAAAGGCCCAACTACAGTAACAATCATCCACCCGACTGATGATAAGGCTGGCTCTAGATTTATCTTGCCACCTCTGTGGACTGCGACAGTTGCTTGTCTCCATCCTTCTAGACAGATGTATGGATGGATGCTACACATGGACAACTCATAACTCAAGACAACAGAAGTAGGTCAAGCTGGTGAGGAGGGTCAGTTTCCTGCAGGCCCAGTGAGTCTCTCTGTCTCTCTCTCTTCCTTTCTTTCTCCGTTTGGGAGGAAGCATTGCAACACAGGGATCTTCTGTCTCTGTTCCCCATCCTGAAAGCAGCATAATGCTGAACAAGGAGAATCTGGACCGGCCATTTTCCTCACCACACATGGGAGGATTCTGTTCAGTGTGGCCCCTCTTGCCAGTTGGCTTCCAGACAGGCAAAGCTTATTCATGTTTCCAAATCCCGGCCAAGTTTGATGATGAAGCCTGGAATGTTTTAGACTCAGAGGGAGAAAAGGTTTGGGAAATGATCCAGTACCCACTTGGCAGTTGTGCCAGGAAAAGAGAGAGACAATGTCTGTCATTTATTTCAGAAATGTGTGTGAGAGACAGACAGACCGATTGACAGACCTTAAGCCCGTGAGTGTTGTTGTGGTGGTGGTTGTGGTTGTTGAGTGCCTTCAAGTCATTTCCGACTCGCGATGACCCTAAGGCAAACCTATCACAACGTCTTCTTGGCAGAATTTGTTCAGAGGAGATTTTGCCATTGCCTTCCTCCGAGGCTGAGAAACCTGCCCCAAGGTCACGCAATGGGTTTCCATGGCCAAGTGGGCAATCAAACGGTGGTCTCCCAGGGTCCTGCTGAGAACCTGCGGATGACACTGGAGATTTGCCCCTAGAAAATTCATGATTGAGGTATAATGGAAGATGGTATCCCTCGGAAAGATGGAGGATGTATTGGAGATGCTCGAAGCTGTTTTGTTTTCCTTGCATGTCCAGTTGCAAGGCAATTTCATGTTCTTCTCTGACACAGGTTCTCCACTAATTACTTTCCTCCTTAAATGAGATACCCACTTCATAGAATCATAGACTCATATAGAGTTGGAAGAGACCCCAAGGGCCATCCAGTCCAACCTCCCTGCCATGCAGGAACTCCCAATCAAAGCATCCCCAACCGATGGCCATCCAGCCTCTGCTTAAAGACCTCCAAAGAAGGAGACTCCACCACCTTCCAAGGCAGTGTCTTCCATTGTTGAACAGCTCTTATTGTCAAGAAGTTCCTCCTAATGTTGAGGTGGAATCTCTTTTCCTCTAGTTTGAATCCATTGCTCTGGGTCCTATTCTTTGGAGCAGCAGAAAACAAGCTTGTTCCCTCCTCAACATAACACCCCTTCAAATATTTAAATGGCTATCATATCACCTCTTAACCGTCTCTTCTCCAGGCTAAACATATCCAGTTCCCTATGTCACTCCTCATAAGGTATGGTTTCCAGACCCTTCACCATTTTAGTTGCCCTCCTTTGGACACGCTCCAGTTTCTCCACATCCTTTTTGAATTGTGGTGCCCAGAACTGGACACAGGATTATTCCAGATGAGGCCTGACCAAAGCAGAATAGAGTGGCACTATTACTTCCCTTGATCTAGATACTACATTTCTATTGATGCAGCCTAAAATCACATTGGCCTTTTTAGTTGCTTCATCCCACTTATGAGTCAAGCAAATGATCTGGCCCCTTCTCATGCAAACTTTCTTTATTTTTAAAACTATATATATTATATCTAGGAAGCTAGTGTGGTGTAGTGGTTTGAGTGTTGGATTTCAACTCTGAGACCAGGGTTTAAATCCCCACTCACCCATGAAAACCCACTGGGTGACCCTGGGTAAATCATACTCTCTCAGCCTCAGAGGAATGCAATAGCAAACAAATCTGAACAAATCTTGCCAAGAAAACCCTATGATAGGGTCGCCACAAGTTGGAAATGACTTGAAGGCACACAACAACAACACATCATATCTATTTAAAGCCCTTATTTCCCCCAAATCTGGGATTCAAGACAGCTTAGAAAAGTTGAAACAGAACCCATAAACTTTGTGGGTTAACGTACACCATTTCCTCCCCCCCCCCCAGATATTTTTACACTTGCTTTTTGTGCTAGGAAGTTTGTCATAAAATATGGCAAGGTGCCTTTTAATCACAGTAACTGTATGTCTCTGATTTGTGAAATTGTAAGGAAAGTCACTTTAAAATGAGAGTCGAGCAGCAGTGCAGTGGGACTGGTTGTTGCTCACCTTCTGTTTTACAGTTATAATTGGTCTGCTTGTGAGAGGCAGTACAAGCTGGCTGCATCCACACAGCAGAATCAATGCAGTTTGGTGCAGCTTTAACTGCCATGGCTCAATGCCATGGAATTCAACAATTTGTAGCTCTGTGAGATATTTAGTCTTCTCTGTCAGAGAACTCTGGTGCCACAACAAATTATAAATCCCAGGATCCCATAGGATGGAGCCATGACAGTTAAAGCGGTATCAAACTGCATTAATTCTGCAATGTGGCAGCAGCCTCTCTCCCATTTCCCAACAGGACTAAGCGTTTCCAGAGTAGAGAAGAATACACAAAATAGTTTCTTTGACCTGGAACAGCAGCTTTTTCCTTGGCGTAGAGCAAGAATACAAAGCAAACCCCCTGACAACAACTCACCGATTCAAAGCCTGAGAGGATTAAAATTAAAAAGCTAAGGTGTGTATTTTTTGCTAACCGCAGGCAATCCTTTCACCACCAACAAAAAAAGAAAGAAAAGGAGAGAGACAGAAGAGACGCTCTTAACTTTGGTGCAATAATAATAAAGCGAGGGATTAGGAAGATATTTTTAACACCGCATCTGTCATATTAATGGCTAACTGCTGGTTTAATTGCTGTAATCTTTCTCTGTCTGTTTTGATATCTTAAAAGGAATACAGTCACCCTTCCTCAAACCAAAGTCTCCCTTGACACTTCTAATGCACTCACTCAGAAGTGGAAAATAGTTCTCCGGGATACGTAGACGCCAGCTCAAGGGTCCCCTTTCCGGTGCTCTGTCTCAGTATCAACGGGTGTAGCCACACTACAGAATTAAAGCAGTTTGACACCGCTTTAACTACCATAGTACTATCTTACAAAATCCTGGGATGTATACTTTGGAGAAGTATTTAGCCTGATCTACCAGAAAGCTCTGGTGCCTCACTAAACTACAATCCCAGGATTTTGTAGGATGGTCCCATGCAGTTAAAGTGGGGTCAAACTGCTTTAATTCTGTAATGTGGATACACACAAATTTCCAGATGTTAGAGCCCACACTCTCTCCTAGAGGTAGTAAGGATACAGGCTGAGGCTTCTGTTATCCTCAGTCATCTCAAAGCCAAACTAGCCCACTCCTCAAAATAAAAACCCACTCCAAAATTCAGCTGATTGACAAGAAGTGTAATAAAAATTATTATTATTATTATTATTATTATTATTATTATTATTATTATTATTATTATTATTATTATTTGGAACATGACAGAATCAGTCAAGACAGAATAGGGCCAGCTGGGGACTTCCACATCATGGAGGTGGTGACTGTTCTGGGTTTCACTCCAAACTTGAAAGTAACTATTCAAACTGCTGAACTTTAACCCCTCCCCAGATTAGGTTCTGTTTCTTTGAAGCTCACACTGAAATCTGGAGCAGATTCAGCACCCCATTGACTCCAAAGCCACAGATACATAAGATTTTGTCATAATGATGGTAGCTAGCTCATGACCGATGTTAAGAAGTAACAAGTGACAGTAAAGTAGTTAGTCACTAAGATGAGTCATTTTTGGTTTGTAACAAGGGATGACAAAGTGTGTTAAGTGACATTCAGTTGACAGCGATTCATTGCGATGACATCTCCAAGACCCCATTGCTCTGTTCAGGTCCTGCAAAATCAGGCCCATGACCTCCCTGGTTGAGTCCATCTATCTGGGATGTGGTCTTCCTCTCTTTCTACTGCCTTCCACTTTTCCCAGCATCATTGTCTATTCCAGTGAGTCCTACCTTCTCATGATGTGGCCAAAGTACAACAGTCTCAATTTAATCATCTTGTCTTCCAAGGAGACCTCAGCTTGATCTACTCTAGGACCCATTTGCTTGTCTTTTTGGCCATAGAACATATCCTCAGCACTCTTCTCCAGCACCACATCTCAAATGAGTTTATTTTCTTTTTATCCGCTTTCTTCAGTGTCCAGCTCTCACATCCATACATGATGATGGGAAATACAATGGCTTGAACGATTCAAACTTTTGTGCTCAGTTGTGTATCTTTATACTTTAGGATCTTGTTTAGTTCTTTCATAGCTGCCCTTCCCATTCCTAGTCAATCTAAAGCTATGTTTCCAAATTTACATAATGGGGAGGCATTGGCATTTCACATTAAAAAGTACAAGTTCCTTTTTAAAGGCACGTTTTAGAAGCATTTTGACAGGATTTTTTCGTACTTCATCCTATTATGTTACCACTCATAAGACTTTTTTAAAAGTAAAAAAACAATTCAAAAAGTTACATAATGGGATACTTTTTTTTAAAGCACTATAAAGAATAATAGCAATGACGTACTTTTGATATATCCTAATAAATAATGTGAACAAATTATATTTTAGAAGTGACTTTCCCAAATCTCTCCAAGGCACATAATTCAAATTAGGGAGCTGGGTATGTTTCGCATGGAGAAGAGAAGGTTAAGAGGGGACATGATGGTGGTGGTTGCGTACCTTCAAGTTGGTTCCAACTTATAGCCATGTTTAAATATTTGAAGGGAGACCATATGGAGGATGGAGCAAGCTTGTTTTCTGCTGGTCCATA